CGCTTCTGTAAGCGGAGGTGATTTTTAAAGCAGGTTTTTGGATTGTCTGTACCATCTGGTTAAATATTTCTTTGGCCTGGGAGTGAGAGTACCAGCAGTGGCTGATTGTGTTTTAATCCCAGAAGATGCACCGTGTGTGTACACCAGGACCCATCTATTCTCTTCAAAGTGGTGGCAGTCTGAATATGTATTGAATGCCAGCTCACCCGATGGTATAGTTGGGCCTTGATAAGGCTTCCAATCCCTGCCACCCTTGTAGGGCTTTGTGGGTTCCTTAGGACAGAGAGAAGAGAGAAAAGTGGAGAAGAGGGTGTGTTTGTACCTGTCATTTCTTCAGCATGCTGTTCAGGTGGAACATGCACCCCACAAATTGAACTGCTTGGTGTCTCACGAGGGCTGGGTGATGCTGTCTGCTGGCCGGTGTGCCATGCTATTGCATGCCTGTCTTATTGAGGAAAAAATGGGCAAAGGCACCTCCTTCACTTGAACTTCCAGAGGAGGCTTCATAGCTAGGCTTAATTCCATTCCCCTCTGCTCTCCCTGACTAGGATGGTCTTCTCTTCTCCATGGATTCTCATTTGCCTCCCTTTTTTTTTTTTTTTTTTTTTTTTTTAGTTACTATAACCTGATGTGAGAAATCGTGTTTCATGAAGATAGTCATAGCTGGCGCTATTGTCTCTGGAGAACACTACCCCTGGGTGTCCTGTGCTTATTATTATTGTATCCCTCCATTTTTTAGGTTAGTTTCCTGGAATTGAGGTCTGGGCTTCAGCTTTTGCCCACCTGGGAAGTTACCCCGTGAAGTTATTTGAGCAGTCCTTCTCATGAAGCCAAGGAAGGGCCAAATCCTGAGTGGCGGGAGATGAATTCTTCAACTCCCATTGGTTCCGCTGGGTGCTTGGTCCTGGGCTGGTATCACTGAGAAATGACGTACCTGAGGCCTGAGTCTGCCCTTTTATCCCACGCTTATTCCATGAAAAGCAGGGCAGGAAGACAAAGAACCCAATTGCAATTGGCTACAGAGAAGGGTTCACGATAAAAGGGGGTCCCTTTGCCCAGCCTCCTTCCCACCATCCAGCTCTCTTAGCGAGTGATTGTTTTAGTTTTTAAGAACGCACAGCAGAAACTCCTGTGCCTTTTCCAAGCACTGCCCGAAGCACCGTCTGCCACATGGGAGCCCGGTACTTTGCCAAGAGATAAGTGTTCCTTAAACGACAACACATTGAATTGAGCTCTTTAACCCAGCACCGGCTAGACCCCTTCTCCATGGGGCTCAGTCGCTCCGTTCCATCTTCCTGGTCAAGGTAGACCGATGAAAAGTCCCTCTCCAAGGGTCTTCTGTCCAGCGCTGGTCAAGGGGTGGATGCTAGGCTCAATGCACTGCCAACACCCAGAAGAACTAACCCCCACTGCCCATCTGAATACCAAATCCCACACAAAGCACCTACCCCTTCCATCCAGATGAACCCATCCGCTTCCTTCATTTCTGTCATGCTTCATCTGAATTTCTTATAATTTGGAGGGGCGGGAGGGGGAAAATAGTCGTTTCTTGGGTTTACACAACCTATCTGACAGGAAACGTGCAAAGATTTTTGTTTCATTTTGTTCTGTTCTAAAGGTTGCATTAAAAAGAACGGTTTTTCTATTTTAAAGACTTGCAAAAAAAATACAGTAGATGAAAATGTGGTGTTCTTTATGAGCTTACATAAATATTTTGGGGGACATTGATTTTGTTTCGTCACTCTTTTTTATTACCTCAGACCTGTTTAAAAAAATAAAATAAAATATATGTAAAAAATGCTAGAGGCACTTACCGTCACTCCCAGAAGTCTCTGTGACTGGCAGGTTTCCATGAGGGTCTGGTCTGCTATTTAGTTGATAATTTTTTTTGTTCTAGTTTCCATATTAGGAGGGGGGTGGGAAATGATTATATATATAAATATTATGCAAAAAATATAGTTTTCTTTAGGTCAGAAACTGATATTTTTAAGTCAGCCATATGTATTTTGTTTAAAGGGGAAAAAACAAACCAAACCTGTGAGTCGTGTGACTGCAGTGGCATTTAATCACACGACTGGCAGTTTACCGTGACAGGTAATTTAGTATATCAGTGATTGGTCAGACTCCAATCAGCTTCCTTTCTCTGAGCAGCCATCTTTGTACTAAAAGTCAGTTGGATTACACAAACTTTTTTTATATAAATTATGTTGGTATGGCTGGTTGCTTGAAGTATAAGCATTTATTGTGCGTACATTTTTTATGTAAAATATTTTTTCTATTTAGTTTTAGTGATAAACTGGCAGCAGATGACTTTGGCTTAAGTTATTAAGGAAATGGTGGGCAGGGGAATGGTGCTGTAGACTAAGAAAGGCATGGTTGGTTACATGACCATCTGGGGATTTCTCTGCAACATGCCTTGAAAGATGGGGAGAATTTTTTTCCTTTTTTTTTTTTTTTACTGCCAATAGTGTGTGTGCGCGCGTATGTGTGAGCGCGTGTGTGTCTGTGTTGGGGGGGTGGGCGGGAGGGGATACAACAGTGCCATGCTAGCCAGGAAATGAAGTAATATCCTGTGATGTGTTAACATGCCTTGGAATGTTGTGTTATTAAAACACTCCAAACATCATTTTGCATCCAGTTCTTAATGATAGGGTCTCTGTTGTTGGTTGGTTGGTTGGTGGCTTTTTTTTGTGTTGAATAAATTGGCGGATTGGTACCAAAGACATTACATCACTCCCTGTGTGCAATGGTGAACATTTTTTTTTTTAATTTTATTTTTGGAGTTTGCATCATGTGGTTAGGTTTCTATCTCTCTCTTTTTTTTTTTTCTCCCCTCCCCCCTCTTTCTTCCCCACCCCACTTTAATTTGCACAGGGATCTGACTTAATTTTCAGAGGTTGTGTGCAATACGTCTTAAGGGGGGGGCGGGAAATCAAAACACACAAAACAAAACACACAAATATCCAGAAGGAAAAAAACTAAACTGCATTTTAGCATGGGCAGCCTTCAATAACAAATCTTCCAGGGCAGAGGAAAATACTTCCTTTTTAATACGTGCCCAACCTTCGGCTCTTTTGGAAGTCGTCTCTGACTAGCCTTTGAATGTCCTCACCAAGGGTTGGAGGGTCCAAAGCGCATTGCAGACCCCTACAGCACTGGCTTTGGATGAAGCTGGAGGAGGAAGGTATCTTAAAGAAGATTTGCTGCTATCATGACTTCTCCCAGCGTTCCACTTGCAACAGTTGAGGCCTTTTTGTTTTCACATCCCCCTAGTTCCTGCTTTCCAGACGTGTCCTGGACACATGGCGTGGACAGTGTTGTTTCCGGGAGCTGCCACCCGACGGGGAGGGAAAGGGGCAGCACTGCAGTTCGTTTGAGAGAGACTTTGACTCTCATCCATTCTCTGCTGTCCCACCTCCCAGCCAGTTCATCAATCAGTGGGAAACTACCATCGGGATCTCCTAAATGCACCCTGAAAGCTCTACGCCCCACCTTGCAGTGAGTCTTGCCGAGGAATGAGTGAGCCAACTCAAGATGGTTATGGCATATCATTGTCCCCTGCTGTCATGCCTGGCCATGGCTTCTTCATGCTTACCTAGAACACAAGACTATATGGCCAAGGCCAGGGCCATCTTATGGCATGTGCTATACCCTACCTTTGGAGATCTTTCCTCCCTTTCCTGCCCATCTCTTCCTCCCAGCTACGCAACCTGAATTTTATGCCTCCAAGCCTTCTGTTGGCAAAAACCCCCCTCAAAAAACTGTAAATTGGTTAACCCTTCAGCAATGCCCATGGCTAAAACTGTCTTTAGTTTATTTCCTCTCCCTAAATAAATATATATACAGTATTAAAA